AAGGAGAGGTCAGACACTGTCATTTCCTAAGCAGAATAAGCATGGCCCTTCCTATAGTGGTAAAATCCCTGCTGTGGGCTGGCAGCTTGAGGATACAGGGGCAGAGTGAGGAGGGAAAGGGGAGATGCACAAAGGGCCCCAAACTCAATCCCTGCCCACATCTGACCTCCTCTGGCTCCTCTCAGATGAGCTGTAGCTGGATCTGTTGGTGCTGTTGCTGTTTGATGGATGAGGAGGTGCCCCTCGGTGTTGCCTGAGCTGCCCAGGTGCCCGTCAAGGTGATGTGCAGTGATGTGCTCTGCAATCCATCTCCGCATGGATGCAGGTTTCCTCTCTCCATGACATGGAGCTTCTGGTCCCTCAGTGGCAGGGAGGCTGCATCCTGCCAGAGCTGATGGATGGGTGAGCGTGGGGAGCTGGGAATGCTGCAGCCACCTTATTGATGGCTCTGTATCCAGTTCAGTGAGTGGTCAGCTGCTGAGGAGGGAGGATGGGGCAAAAAATAGATGCCATGGTGGGGCCCAAGAGTCACAGTGTGAGAAAGATGTACGGACAGCTGGCAAGCAGGAGGGGGGAATAAAGAGCTTCCTCAGCAGCTTTGGAAGCAAGGGAGGCAGCCTGCAGCACTGAGCTGGGCCTAGCTCAGGGAGAAGGCAAGGAGCAGCTGGTTCTTCTGCTCCCTCTGTTTGTATTCTGCCCTTCTCCACTGCAGTGAGCTCAACAGGAGTAAAAGCAGTCTGGTTCCAGAGGCTCGGGGCAGGGGATTCCTCCCAAGGCTGCCTTGGCCCTGGCTATCCATGTCCAGAGGGAATTTGCAGCAATATCTGTTCCTAGACCTTTCTGTTCTCACTAGCAGAGGGAATAAAGCTAAGAGAGGTTTACAGTGGTGCCCTGGACCAGACCCCTGTTTTCAGCTACGTGTAACTGTGAAGGTGGGCACGTGCAGCACTGATTCTCAGTGGAACCCAGCTCTCTGTGGTCTCAGCTTTGTGACTTTCTCCTCCTTCTTTCCCATGTCTTTTCAGTAGCCCATTTCTTCTCATTGTGCTCTTCTGTCCTGCTCTCCCAGCTTTCGCAGCTCTCTGAGCAGGGCAGGCTTGAATGCTGCACTGGTGGTGCTCCGTAACAGCAGCAAATCCTGGGCTTTAGCAGTAAAACCCTGCCAGGTGCTTCTGAGGTGACTGGGTCCTGGCCTCTAGCACATGGAACACATCCTTCTCTGGGCCTTAGTGCAGTGCTATTGGAGAGACAGGGTCTGGTTCCCCTTTAGTCTGACTGTACTCCAAGGATGAGTGTGGGGACGGTAGAACACACGTACCTGATGTCTGCTGCCTGTGTGCTCGTGTGCTGCTCCTCATCTCGCCATTCCCATCACTTGCAGGGAAAGGCAAAGCCAAGCAGGCCTCAGATGACAGTTCAGAAGAGGGCAGCGAGGAGTATGGCGAGGATGATGATGAAGAAGAAGGAAGGTATGAGATCGAGGAGGACGAGGAGGAACTGGACGACGACAGTGGCTCAGATGGTGAGTAGAGCAGTTGGGCAATGGGGAAGGGGCTCTTCTGCACCTTGGGGCTCCTCTACAAAGGAACCATCCCTTGTGTTCTGAGCTGCAGGGTGTCAGGAGGGACTCTTACACACAGTCTGGACAGGGAGAGCTGAGCTGATGCTGAGAGCAAAAGGGTTAAGGTCTTTGCAGGCCTTGCTCCACCAACCCACCAGTCCCTTTCATCTCTTCTCGGGAGCCTCCTGCAGAGAGGCTCAAACAAGCTCCTGAAGTTCAGCCCCCCCCAGCAGGGCACAGGGCCCTGCTCCAAGGCTCTCTGCAGGTTACCCAGCCACGGGGGTGGAGGGTGCTGTGCACTCTTCATCTGAGCAGTGCCTGGGCTATGGGTAACACCTTTGCTTGCTGCTTCTCAGCCGCTCCTCCCAGGATGGGACTGGTGGGAGACCTTGCCCAGGTCCTGCTGCATCTGGGGGTCCTCAGACCCCAAGAGCTCGTCTCGGTCTCTCCTCTTTTCACCTTAAGTAATGTTTTCCTCTTACTAATCCTGATCGCTTCTGCAGGTCAGTACCTGCTGCCCGGAGGTACTGGTCAGAGCGGTGGGCATCAAGGTAGGAGGCTTCCAGCTCCATGCTTCTTGCAGGCCAGACCAACCAGCTACATAGTGCTGAGGAAGCCACCGGCTGTGTCCCCAGCGCTGTGTGGATGCCAGACCAGGCTTTGGTGCAGCCGAGAGAGCATCCTCCCCTTCCAGGCCTTGCACAGCACCACAGGCAGGCGAGAGCCTGCTCAGCACCCAGCAGAGCAGCTCAGGCTCGCCCCTGTCTGCCAAGTCCCTGTGCTAAGCTGCAGACAGAACCTGAGCCTGCCAAGGGTGTTCCTTTGTGTGCCACTTCCTTCGCCCTTTGTGTCGGAGCAGCAGGGTCTGCTCCTCACCTGCCACGGGGTGCAGGAACAGCCACAAGAACTGCTCTGTGCTGCCTTTCTGTACTAGTTTGGGGAGCAGGAAGGGGGAAAGAGGCCAAGCGAGAGCACAGCGTGCCTGATTTAGCATGGCAGATGGCTGTGGCTTGGCACGCACGCCCAAGCCTCGGCGCCCAGAATAGATGGGTGTTTGATGCATGTTCTGACAGCGCTGTGAAGGAGCAAGGGGGAAAGTTTTCCCTCGCTGCTTTTTGGAGTATTCAGGAGGAAAAGCACCAAGGAATGGTGCTTGAGGGGAGCAGGAACTCTGAGCCTCCCTTCTTCATCCCTAATGCAGCTTTAGAGCCAGTTCCTGGGTCTCCTTGCTCCTGGATACCCGGTGTAGCTGCAGTGATGTTCCAGCCCAGGTGCCCCTGGCCTGTGGCACTTCTCCAGCCATCCACAGGGCTGGGATGGGGCAGATCCTCCCTTCCCAGGTCTCAAGCTGTGTGTGCTGAGTGTTTCTGTTGTGCTGTTCATTCGTACGTGGAGCCTGGTCAGGCAATGAGACTGTGAGGAGCTGGTGTCCATGACAGCTTCCCAGCCTCCAGCAGTCCAGAGCCTGAGGGGAGAGCTCTGCACGTGCTCCCAGTGGAACGAGAGGGAAGGGCACTGGGCATGGGGACTGTCCCTAGAAATCAGTTCTCACTTGTGCTCCCTATTAAAGCATCATTTCAGAAAGGAGGGAGCGTGGGGTTAGTTTTACATTGGGAGGCTCCTTTCCCGCAGCCCTTCATTCCCAGCCTGGCATCTGTAGCGAGGCAGACTGACCTGAGCCATGAGGGATGAAGGTTTGGAAGCACTCATGTTCCCCTTGGATCTTGCGTTGTGTCTCTGCCTCAGGCCATAGCAGTTCCTCAGGTCTCCCATCACTCCCTGCAGAGCTCTCCTCCAGCTGAGAGCTGCAGCAGCACCAATACATTAATGAGGGGCTGGGATTAATTAGCAGCCCGTTGCCTTGCTCCCAGTGCAGCAGGATTGAGTCCTCCCTCTCCTTCCCCAGCAGAGGAAGGCCGGGAAGGCGCCCGCGTTCCGCAGGGATCCCAGCCGAGGAGCCGCACGGGAGGGATGTCCCGAGCCGACCTCCAGCTGCTGGCGCAGGGAGACGAGGACGTTGTGGAGGACTTGGCCTTCTCCGACGATGACTGAGCCCCCTCCGAGGTGCTGGTACCACAGCACCCATCCTGCGCACCCACAGCGGGTCCTGGAGCCATGGTGAGAGCTGGGAGGGCAGCCCTGGGTGCCACCAAGGACTCGGCAGTGACGCAGCAGAGGCGCTGCTTGGACTTTAAAGCTGTTTTCCACCCGTCCTGGTTTTGGTAACAGTGAAATCGTGCTCGCATCCAGGCCAGTGAAACTGCTCAGCACCGGTAATAAACAGCCCTCATGAAAAGCTGCTGCTTTCAGTAGCACAGGGCTCAGTTTCAGCTCCTGCAGCAGGAGCCAAGGGGAAGTACAAGTTCTTTTGTCTGAGGGTCTTTAGATAGAGGGGGAGTGCAGAGATGGGAGGTGGTGCACGCAGAAGGGGGAGGAAGAGGCAAAACACCATAGGAACCACGCTTTCATTTTCTGATGGGTGTTGGACTTGCTTAGCACAACCAAGCACCAAATCTGAGCCCGTGCTTTGTACCAGACCCGCTGTTAGTGACCTAAAACTGCCTTCTGGAGCCAGTTCCAGCTGCTGCTGAACACGTTTGTTGTGGTCCAGCCATCAGCAGTGATGGACCGCAGGTGCCTTGGGCATCAAATCACTGCATCACCTGGGAAGCTTCTAGATGCAGCTCATGCTGTGTCTTCCTGTTGGAGTGTGGTGCTTGTGGGAGGCCATTGTGTAGCTCAAGGTGGGTAAAGGCAACAAAACCAGCTTCTCTGTAGAGACCACTGTTAGCTTACAGCTGTTCTACACTGAGGGCTGCTCCTCTCCTGCTTCCAGACATCATTACTGCACAGCTAGCACTGCTGCAGTGCGGTGGGGTGGGCTGTTTGCTTCACTTAGTGTTGTTTGGAGCTTAGCAGCAGGAATAGGGCTGGAGAGGGCTGCTTTTCCCAAGTGCAGTTACAGGAATCAGTAGCCATGCACCCAGATGCCCTCAGTCCTTTAAATGGGAGGAAGTAACCTCAGAAATGGGTAAGTTGTGTTTTATTATGCTCATCATCATTATTGTCATTGTTATTATCATTTATAGCCCACTTTGAGAGGAACAAAGCATCTGCTGCTTCATTAGCAGCTCTGGAGTGCTCAAGCCTGAAGTTCCCTATGGCTGGTAAAGCCTCTGTCACCAGGGAGCTGACTGCAAAGATGAGGCCCTAATGATAAGAAAATGGTTTGTGACTTACCTTTTAGTCCCAGAGAGAAAGCAGTTCTTGTTCCTCCTCCCTCTGACTTAGTGCCAAGCTGAAGAACCAACCCTCAGGCTGGCTTTTAGGCCACAAATGCTGCAGCCCCAACCCACAGAGAGGTACCACCAGCAGCAGGGTACCACGCAGTGAAAGAGAGCAGCTTCTCGGGTAAAGAACCACATCCAAGGGGCTCGGGTACCGGTTGGAAATGAAGTGTTTCTCCTTTTTTATTTAAACTGATTGCTGGGCAGCGTTTGTATGGTGATGTGATGGGCAATGGCTGGTTGGTTTTTACAATAGAAAGAAGCTAATGTACCACCAAGCGAAGTTTGGTAACAAAAGGACGGCAGCACGTGCAACCTTGAAACAGAAAAGGGCAGGGGGAGCAGAGAGGAAAGTACCACGTGTGGTTGTTGTTCACAACTGTACAAGTCACAGGAGGGCACCCCCAGGAGTTACCATCGCATTCACAGTAGTAAAACTCTTTCTTACCCATTGGTTTTAGCCTGAACCCCCCCCCCCCCCCCCAGCATCCCTCCCCTGCTCTGGGAACGCACAGGTACCTGTCTCATGGTCCACAGCAGGCCAGAATGTGCAACTGCATCCACCTCTGTAACAAGGCTTGAAACGAGAACCAAAACAACCCCAGAACAAAAGAAACCCCCACCCCAATGGAGAAATGAGTCTGTTGGACACGTGAGGGAGGCCGGGGGGCCCCGGCAGCCCACCAGAGCACATCGCTGGCTCTTCTCTTTACAAAGCATCGAATGGGCAAAACCAAGCGGCTCTGCAGGGCTGGAGCATGGGCAGAGCCTGTTCTCTGCGTGCCAGGAGGGGGGCAGCCCCCGGGCTGTGCCGTACCATCCACTCCGAAGTAAACATGGACCCGAACTTGCCTTTTAGTTCTTCTTTGTCTTTGTTTTTGGCTGTCTTTGGTATTGGTTCAAAGTTGCTATTGATGCATAGACACCTGAATGAGGAACTGAGTCCAGTTTCCAGGGAGGAGGAGCCAGCTGGGAAGGTGGGTGCTTTCAGTTCTGGTGATGGGGTTTTCTCCTCAGGGATGCTGAGTACCGTTGGGAGCAGCGGTCGCCTCTTCCCCTCCCTGTTTGAGCCCCCCCAGAAGGTCCTGAAAGCCGTGGTTCTCTGAAGGCAAAGTGTTCATTCCCTGTCCTACGGCTCCGGGGAGCGAGAAGGGGGGTGAAAGGGAACGGGAACGCTGCTGCAGCCTCTAGAATCACTCTCCCTTCACTCGCGTTGTCTCAGGACATCTTTGGATTGTTTCCTTCCTTCTCTTTTTTTTAGTCTCGGTTGGGTTTTCTCCACCCCAACCAAAAAGCAAATGCATCCAATGTAATGAACCCCCTCCCTTCCTCACCCCTGTGTCTCACACAGCTGAGGGAGGCTCTCCTGGCCTCCCCATGCTCTCGACCTTCACTTCGCTCCATGACCTCAGTCCAGGCCACCGGGAGCTGCCCCTGCAGTTAGGACGGAGGCTTCGTGGTGTCGCTGAGCGCGGCCAGGACGCCGGGGGCCCCGTTCTCCTGCTTCGGGGACACGCGGCTGGCGGAGGGGAGGCCGCTGAAGGGGGAGGCCACGCTGCCCGTGGACGACGGCCGCAGCTCCGCGGCCGGGGGCAGCTCCCGCTCCGGGGGCCGCAGGCCGGGCGGTTGCAGGGGGAAGGCCATGGGGAAGCCCGCCATGTACAGGACCCTGCCCACCCTCTTGGCCACCTGCGGGGAGAAGGAGGAGGAAATAAATGCAGGGGTAAAAAGGGGCACAAATGGTCCTCAGAAACACGTAAAAGCTGCAAACCCAGGTTCTGTGCTCCAGACCGGCCTGGGTTGGAAGGGTCCTTACGATCATCCAGCTCCTTATATCTAACCTGAACTTGCCCTGTTTCAGTCTGAGCCCATCACCCCTTGTTCTATCGCTCCCACCCCTGATGAAGAGTCCCTCTCCAGCATCCTTGCAGCCCCCTCCAGGTACTGGAAGGCTCAAAGATGAAGAGCTGGGTGCCACAGGATCACAGAACGGTGACCAAACACGATGCCCATGTCTGAAGAGCAGGACTTGCTCTTAGAGGGGAGCTGGGATAACAGGGGAAGGGAAAAAACTGGCTCCAGGGTGGCTGCTGTTCCTGCGCAGGAAGCTGGAAGCTGCAGCCTCTCCCTTCTCCTGCAGCACCAAAGAGGACTCCCGCAGCCATTCTCGCCTCCCAGCGAGGGCCAAAGGCCCCCCAAGGTTCCAGCACCTACAACAGCTGGTTCCCATTTCAGCTGGAACAGAAACACAGGCTTGTGCTCAAACCAGACAACTGCCGCATTATTCACTTAGCAACAGCAGGGCTTTGCTCCCCACTTACACACAGACCCCCTCCCCAGCCATGCCTTATTATAGACCTTTAAACACTACTGATTAAATGGAAGCAAGGTTTTTCTCCCTTCAGCCCATATCTCATGTTTCCCCCCTCCAAATCCCATCGAAGAACAGCTCTGAGCTATTTGGCCTCCTCTGTTTTGGAAGAAACAGAAGAGTTTTATTTCCTCCTGAACTGCCCCATAGGGAACAATTGCCCACAGAACCTTTTTATTAGACCCCTCGTAAACAGTGAGGGCTGTAGGGAAAGCAGTAAAGTTGCTCTTCTTGGTTTACCATAATGTAATGAATGTGTAAGCCTGTGGCTTAGGGAGGCTCTGCCACAGCTGGGTGTGCAACCCAGGGAGGTGCACGCGCGCGGTGCTGTCACAGCCACGGCCACGACGGTTCCCAAGGGAAGGCACTGGAACAGCCTGGTCCTGCCGTGTGTCAGGAACTGTTCTGGGAGCACTGGATGGGGAAGTAGAGCTGTCAGTGGAGGTGTTCTTCTGGGTTTGAGGCAGCTGAAATGGGAGTCACCCAGTCCATGGCAAAGCGGTTCCATGGAAGCAGAGACTTGGGGACCAAGTCACTGACAGGGAAAAGGGTGCTTTAAGAACCATCGAGGGCACAACAGCAAAGGGCTGTGCTGAGGAGGAAACAGAGTCCCCTGAAGTAAAGGCCTAACACAGCTGATGTGGGTTCCATATCCCGTGTGGCCACGTGTGAGCAGCACAAGCTGGGGGTGCATGTGGGATTGGGGCACGGCCCATCAGCAAGACCAGTAACCAAAAGAGAGCCCATGCCTGGCCCGACAGAAGGAAAGGTCCATTATGCACTGGGGAGAAGTAATAACAGATGATGCTGAGACATGCTCAGTGTATTTGTGCTTCAAGCCTTGCCAGAACCACCAAGAGCCATGCAGTTACACAGAAAAGGAGCAGCAGAGGGAGTCGGGTCCAGTCTAGAAAGAGCTGGTTCCTCAGATGGCTTTACCCAGCTTTGAGATGCTATTCTCATGTTCACCTGATGCAAAAGCATGTCCCCTGCCTCACCTGGGTGCAGGTTTCCTCCTTCCCTGGCACTGTTTGTGGGACCATCCTAACATTTCCTTTCCAACAGGAGCTGGTCCATGTAGGAGTTCCCCACTTCACCCTCTTCCTCCTTCCCACCACTTGTCCTGAGCTACTTCCTTCTGCCCCTGGCCTCTGAGTACCGCTGGGTGACAGCTGAGGAGATGGAACATTCTGGCGTGTTGAATCCAGAATTACAAGGAAATAAATGAACAATTATTGCTTAATGAACTATATTCAATAAAGGAGGTCCTGACAGCCCTTTCCTGGTTAGGGACAACATTAACATGTGCTGCTTGCTGCTATATAGAAACCATTCCTACCTGTGACCTGATCTTCAGTGCAGGTCCGAGTTTCAGCCCCATGTTGTTCAGTAAGTGCTCTTCCGTCAGGAGGGGCAGGGTCTCCCCATCAATAGCCTGCTCTCGGAATACCTGGAAGCAACCAGAACACAAATCCAGGCTTAGGAATGCCCCTGATGTGCCTGATGCTCCTGTCTTGCCCTTGCACAGGAAGGTGCTGTGGAAAAGGTAGAGTAAGTTGGTATTGATACATGAGCGGTAGGAACAATCCTGTATCCACAGCCAGGAGCTAGCAAGTGAAAGGAAGCAGATGGGAATGGGAATTGGGGTTGGTTGGGCCAGTTTAGATAAAGCCATACTTGTTTATGGTGTGATGGGGCAGGAGCAGCCCCAGGTTTGGGCACCCTTCTTTTCCCCCACACTGACAGGGATTAGGAACTACCTCAGTGCTACTGCAGTGGTACTGCAGTGTACTTGGTGCCACTGCAGAGGAAGGCAACACACTGGCAGTCTCTTACCCCTCTCCTGGTTCACTGAGTGAAGCAGGAGCTGGTGATGTGCAAACCTGGACCCACAGCAATGACAGCAGGGCTGGAGTAATCCCATGAATAGCATTTCCCTGTGCCCCCATTGCAGCCATGCAAACCTGCACCATCTTAACACACTTAAAAAGACAGGGAAAAAGCCCTTTCTTTTGCCCCTATTTCCAATGCCAGCGTCATGCAAGAGTTTTCCACCTCGTAGGGACCACGTAATAGAGGTGAAGGTCTGGATCTTGCTCCATTGTTCATGCACAGAGCAGGGCTGCGCTCACACCGGCCCCCCCGGGGTCTTTACTCTGCATGTACGGGCTGGATACTCGATGAGTAAACTGCAATCCCTGCGCAACTCAGGCTGCAGGTCCCTCAGTGGGGAGGTGTCGGGCAGAGGCCTGGTTTTCCCCATGAAACCCCCTTCCACAGGGCGTGTTCCTGGATGCTCCCCAAATGAGCTGTGTGGGGCAGTGCCTTATGCATGGTGTTAATGTCACTGAACACCCTAGCAAAGGAGAGGGCCTTCAAGTCACTCTAAGGGCTTCTTTGTCAGCAGCAGCCCATAGCCCATGGCCATCCCTCTGGAGGGTGGCACCGGCTGTTAGAGCCGAGGCAGCTGAGCTGCTCCAAGGGGCTTTTACTGCTGGGCTCCAGCACAAAGCTGCTCAGGACTGCAGCACGTGGCTCTGCTCTGCCCTACCAACCCCGTACCAATTCACTTCCCTCCCTCTGCAGCCAGCGTGGGCTGGGAGCCAAAAGCCTCCCCTTGCACGCACTGAAACCCGCCATGAGAAGGCCTGTAACTTGAGGACAGCATCCCCTTGGGTGTCCCATGGGTCCTGATCCACTGCGGGGACAAAGCTGAGCGCTGCCGAGGGCTGAAATGAGGCACAAGCCCTTGTTTGTCTCAGTGCACAGCACAGCACCAGCCTCCTGCTGGTTTTCCTGGCAGGAACAGCCTGCAGAGCAGCGCCAGACCTCCCCAGCACTGTGGTTTTGGAGAGGAGAACGCAGGCAGCTCGGAGCTGGGTCACCCCTCAACACTGGCCTTCGCACATAGTAAAAACCTGCTAAGCACATAGCCATGGTGCACACAAACACATCAGCCCTGCAGCCATGCTCCCCCCGCAGTGTAAAGCAGCTCGGGCACGCCAGGAGCCTGGTGACAGCAGCTCCCATCATCAAACACGGTGCCTGCAATGCACTGAGGCTGCTGAACCTCTGCCTCCGCCAGGTATTGATTTCTGCCCCACCGCTCCACCAGGAGCTGCCAAGGGAGGTGGGAATGGATGAGCCTCCTGCAAAGTGGCTCTGGTAAAGAGAGAGGCTTCCAGGCACCTCTTGCTCCTCATTCCCCAGCACAGGAATGCAGACAAAGCGCAGTGCCCCACTGCAGGAGCACGCTGAGGCCGGGGTAACAGAGACACAGTGTGTTTTGTATGCGTGTGTTTTGGTTTTGGGAGCCTTTTGCTTGAGCTTTAACACCCACCACCCATCCCCTTTATCATCCCCACTAAACCAGCTCCTGAACCCCCCTCCACACACCCAGACCTGCTGCTTCTCACTCCCATCAACACCCATCCACCCTCCTTCCTTTGTAACCAGTGTCCCCTCCCTTCCTCTCCCCACAATCAGAAACGGCCCTTATACACACACAGTCATCCTGATCCACTCTCAAACACAACCCAAACCCTTGGGGACCTTTACATGTACCCCATCCCTGCAACAGACATTTGCTTTCCTAAGTGCTGCCTCTCACCTGCATGCACACAGCTCTTTGCTCCCCTGAAGCACTGGCTTTACAAGTGGTTTTAACAAAGAACTTCCTCAGGTCTCATCTCCATCTCCCCTCTGTCAGGTTAAACCCATTCCCTCCTGTCCTTACAGGCCCTTACACAAAGCATGGAAGCAGGATGCTGAGCTCTACCAGTAGAAAGGCTGGGGCAGGCGTTCAGCAATGACCAACCCTTGCCCCTACTCCATCCCCTCCCACTGCACTCCCTTTATTGCTCTCCCTCTGCGAGGCCCATCACACACCTCAGGATCTTCACTACCGGCAAGCAGCTGTTCCCCAATGCAGCAAGGAAGCGGCTCTGAGACACAGCACCTCCTAGGTGGGACAGGGCAAGCACAGCAGGGACAGAACACGGGCTGTGAAGAGCTTTACCTGAGTGTACTCGGTGCAGCCGGACAAGTTGGACACGAAGCTGCACACGTCCTCCACCGTCCATTTGCTGATGTCTTCCAATGCGGGGCTCTCCTCCCCATCCAGAAACAGACCTCCCATGGTGCCTGGATTGTTTGGAGCCGGGGATGGGGGGTGTTAGGAAGGAGGGGAGGAGAAAGAAACATAAATCATTCAAATCCCACCCGGACAACAATGTGAATATGTTTCTCCAGCCACACATTCATCTTTAATGACCTGTCAATTAAAGCACTGGGCAGGGTCAGTTCATAGGCCTCTTCCTCCTGGAGGTCCCCAGCTTGGAAAGGGAGGGGGGTAAGGGAAAGGAAAGCAAAGCCCTGGCTAATGTATTTCATGTGTTTAATGTTCTTCAGCTGTGGGGAAGGGATAGGGGGAAGGGAGAGGAAAGAAACAACCCTCAAGGAGGGTTTCTCCACACGCACCGCAAAGCCAAAAGCTCTGCCTGCCCTGTGGGCTGCTTCCCCCCATCCCTGCTCCTGGCGACGTGCTCCGAATGGGAATGGCCCCGGCACCTCTCCCTGGTGGCCGCTGCCTTGCCGGAGCCTCAATCACCACAGAAGAGCTCGCTCCATCCATGGGCTCATTTTCAGTCCACCCCGGTCTGAAGCATCCACGGGATCGGCTGCCTCGGAGCGCGCTGGAGCTGGGTGATGGGATGACCCCCGCCAGCCCCTGGGGCACTGAGACAGCCCAGCTCTGCTCAAGCCCATGAGTCAATGCTCTGCAATGCAACAGCGGTTCAGGTCCCAGCCCTGTCACCACTGGCAGAGGTGATGGGTTCCAAAGGGGGGGAAGAGCCCCCCCAGCCCTGCATCCGCGGCGCCTGACGGCACGGGATGGGCTGGCGCCAGGAGCTAAAGGAGAGGCACAAAGAAACCCCAGGCAGTTAACTCCTATCTACTGCAACGGGTCACAGGGAAACGCAGCAACAAGCAACGAAGAAACTGAGTTCCAGAAGACCCCGCTTCATGGGGCAGGAATAAAAGGTGCTGCCAACCTGTGGAACTCACTGCTGCATGGTACCATTCAGACCAAGGGGACATGCACAGGGCTACGAACATCCATGGTTACAGTGGATAGAGAAGAGTTTATGAGGGGTACAAAGCAAGAGATGAGCAGAAAAGGTCCTTCCCCCAGGGATCTATCACACCAAAACTCTTGGTCCTGTAGGCTTAAGGTCTGCCCAGCACCATGGATATAACTCCCCTCCTTGGCTCCTGTCCACAGCAGGCTGGGTATCAGACACAGGCTCCCATGAAGTAAAGACAAGATAAAGTGGGATGCAACAAAATCCTGCTGGGAAGCACAAGCCCAGAGAACAAGGGGCCAATTCCCTGGGGAATGACCAGGTCAGAGGGAAGAGGCACAGGAAGAGCAGTGCCACGCGCCGAGTCTCCACTTGTTGGCAAAGCCACGGGCACATTCCAAAGGCACAGGAAAAGGACAGGAATTACACAGGAAGTCATCATGCCAATCAGATGGTTCTGAAGCACCGGCCGCGGTCAGACACCCGGTAATCATTTCCATGATGGTTCCGCTCCCAGCTTCCCGCTTCCCTTCCCAACCTCCGCACTGTTCCTGTAGTAGCACCACCACATCCCTCCCTCCCTCCCTCCCTCCTCTCGGGGAAGGAGACGGCAACGTCTGCTTCAGCTGGAGCTGCAGCTGATGGGCATTCCCAGTGCAAACAGACCAGTGCCAGCACCCACTGGAGGCCAGGCAGCTCCTCATTCCCTTTGCTCCCTCTCCTTCCAGCCTGAAAAGGTTTCCATCACTTGTGTGTGTGTAACAGCCATAGGGAACCACTGAGAGCTCGGTGCCTGTCGCTGCCGAAGAGGCACCCCCAGGCAGAGAGATGGACACGAGCCCTCGTTCTCATTCCCATCCCCTTTCCCAGCTGCTTGCGCTGAACCCCACAAAGCACTCCAAGGGCTCAGGGTTTTTTTCCCTTTATTTGCCCTTTCAGGAGAGGGTTTTCCCTTCTCCTCCTTTCAGGAGGGGTGGCTGCGGTTTGGGAAACAGGGGAAGTGCAACTGAACTCAATTATTCCAGGCACAGTCAATGCCCGGGCGAGACACCTCCATCTGCAGCCGGAGCGGGTGCCTCTGAGGGGATCGGACTGTAGCAGCCAACTGCTTCCAAATGAGGTACTTCCTTATTCCAAAAGCAAGCCAAGGATTGAGTTGCAGCAACGTGGTGCTTGGGAATGACTTCTCCAGCCAGGGCCATCCTCAGGGTTTAAGCTCAGCCTGGTCACCAGCACGGGCAGAGATTCAGCCCAGACGCCTCCTTCACAACTGGCAAGGGATGCAGGGACCGGCATAAAGCTTCCCTATGCTCCCTTCTCCTGCACGCCAGCAATCCACGAGCTGCACCACATCCAGGGTCATTCCCAGGGCTCCTGACACTGCCCCGGAGCTGGGCTAACAACTGCTTCTCCTACATAAGCCTTTCTCCTCTGTGGTTTCCTCTCCCTTGTCTCTTTGTGCCCCCACAAGGGGAGGGAGACATTGTGATGCACACAGAGATGCACACACAGAGTGAGCCTGCTGTGGCCAGCACAAGGCAGCCCCTCTCTATGGGAACCAGGAATATTTTCCACATACCCACACACAGAGGAATACAACACGGCCAAAGTATTGATCTCAGAGAGTTTGTCTTCCCTTCCCATCTGTACCAGGGAAACAGGGACTGACTGCTGGACATTATCCTGGGAAGGGGAAGGTAAACATCAATACTTTGGGTTCTGGCCTATGAGTGATTCCTATGGCACTGAATTGAAAGCAAGAGGGTGGGAACCTATTCCCACTGGAGTGAGTGGTGAAACACCCCTATTCCCTGCAAAAAAAGCCCCAAATCTCAAAGCTCCAAAGACTCAGTCATCACCCTGTGTATTGAGCACCCCTCAAGCCCAGGCTGTGAAGCCTCAGCCCACTGGTCCTTTCCAACTCTGAAGCCCCTGGAGCAGAAGGGCTCTTGTCCTTCCTCCCCAGGAAGACACAGCATCGTCTGCTCCATCTCTGAGCGTGGCTGCTCCACTCACCTCTGCTCTGGCAGCCTGGACAATGATAACAAATAGGTGCCAAGCAGCAGGAAGGGATGCACCTTCTATTATAATAATGACATGTCACTGGCTCCTGCTGGACTCCGAGGATGCAGAAAGGGCAGCATCCATTCCCTGCCAGGCCTCCTGTGTCTGCCTCTGTGACAAATGATGGTCTGAGGGCCTGGTAATGGATTATGGAGCCATTTCACCAGATGGGGCCCAGCGTGCAGGGACTGAAAAGCATCCATCATCCCAAGCAAGGGTCTTAGAGCCAGGTGCCTATGTAAAAGCCCTCACCATCCATGCTGCAACCCGTTTGTAACTTCCCTTCCTCCTCCTGATACCCAGCTGCTCCAGAAGACCAGCTAAAGGCTGAGCAGGTCAGGGAAAAGCAATCCTGCCCATCCCAGGAAGGGAAACCTGTTGGGAATCCAAGCTGCATGGAGACGTGGGAGCTTTTTACTCCTGCCTTCACAGGAGACATTCAGGTGCCAACTGGGAAATCAGTGCACAAAGCACTGGGTTTAATCAGCTTTGCTACCACACTGTAACCCCTCTCCCTGTGCATACCCCCGCCTCCTTCCCTCACACTCAGGTCATGGAGCGGCGCTGGAAGGCTTGTGTTAATTGCTCTCCAGACTATGGATCGATGGGAGGATTTTAGCCTCCTGCACACTCCCCATCCTTCACCTTTTCCAAAGGACGGGGCTGGCGGTGGGAGGAGGAAGGGAACAAGGCTGCTGAAACCTCCTCGAGATGAGCTCATCGAGCAGCAGCCAGATCCCTGCAAGGCAGCTTAGGGAATCGACCCACCTCTGCCTGCCTCATCGATATCCGTCCCAGCAGGGATAGCAAACAGCTCTGCCTCCAATGAGGAGCCTCCCCTTGCTGGGAGGCTGCTGCCTGGAACTCAGAGGTCATTTTCAACCAGCCCCTTCCCTCCTTTCCTGCCTCTGGCTGTTCCTTTTGGCCTCCCACACTAACTGCCTTGCTTAGGTGGTTACATTATAATGGCAGCCTGCAGTGTGCAGCACACCATGATCATCCAGGCCAAAAGAGCAGTCCTGGTGCAAAAACAGTCCTTGTTCAGCCTGAAGAAGAGAAGGCTCCTGAAGGGGAGATCTTAGAACAGTCTTTGATACCTAAAGGGGCTACAGGAAACCTGGAGAGGGGCTTTGGACAAGGGCCTGCAGGGACAGGCCAAGGGGAATGGCTTTAACCTGCCAGAGGGGAGACTGAGATGAGCTCTTAGGCAGAAGCTCTCCCCTGTGAGGGTGCTGAGGCGCTGGCACAGGGTGCCCAGAGAAGCTGTGGCTGCCCCATCCCTGGCAGTGTTCAAGGCCAGGCTGGACACAGGGGCTTGGAGCAAGCTGCTCTAGTGGAAGGGGTCCTTGCCCAGTGTTGGAACTGGGTGAGCTTTAAGGTCCCTTCCAGCCCAAACCAGTCTGGGATTCTATGCAAAAGAACTATGGAAATGACCCTGGGGGTGCAGGTCTGTCTTCAGGTGATTTGCCTTCCCAAAGGCCAAAGCAACACTTCTTCACTGACACACGTTACCCCAGCATCCCTGCAGCACTTGGATCAACACCACCCTCAATATTCCAGCTGCTGAGCTCCCCTCTCAACCTGCTGTGCTGCATCCCACAAGTGCCCCAAGGCTGTTCCAGACGAGAGCTTGTGCTATGGGGTTGCACAGTGCCTAAATTCACTGATGCCCCATGAATATTAACACGTGAAGCTGGCTGAAAGCAACAGAGCCCGTTGCTCTGTTGCTAAAGAGCTACAGCCCTGGAACAGGCTCCACAAATCACACGTGGGCAGTGAAACACAGCCCTGATCTTTGCCGAGGCCTCCAGACACGATCCTGGTATAAATTGGAAGTGATAATAATAAATGGCCCATTACAGCAACTCCTGCACTGCTGGCGGAGGAGGAACCCCATGCACCAGCCTGGCCTCCCTGCAGAGCCTGACGCAAGCGCTGAGCGCCACGCTCTGCCTTTCCCTTCGGAATGCCAGGAGGAAAGGGCTCCTGCGAGGAAGCCTCGGCAGCCCAAGGCAGCAGCAGTATTTATCACGTTGGCCACCTGCCTGTCCGAGGAAAATCGCTTCCTCCTTCCTCGTTGGAAGGCAGCTCTAATGAGCGATGGGCAGCCGCCTTCCCAGCAGCGGCGGCTCTTTGCACAGGCAACGGGTGGCCCCAGCGACCCACATGCTGTGCCCCCCTTATTAGCAGGTCCGACCTCCTGCTAATTGCTCAGCCAAGTAATTAGCTGAGGCAGATTTTGGCTCTGGGCTAGACCAGGGCAGAGGCAGACCAGCCACCGGGGTCCGAAACCCTGCTTTGTACCACACGTACTCACCCTTCCCTTCTTGGCTGCCCATCTCCACAGCCCAAGGGGCTGCTCTGTGGGGACCAGAGGCCAGCCATGACTTCCCTGCCTGCCTGTCCCATCCAGCAGGCACTGATCCAGCTATACCAGTGCCTGAGAAATACACCATAGGCAGGGGAAAGAGCCCTCGTAGCTCTGCCCCGGAAAAGGGGCACAGCAGGGGTAACTCCGTCACCTCCAAGGGCACGGGCAGCCAAGATGCTTAAATCACTGCCAGGGAACTCTCCCGACACCCCATCCCAAAGGTGCTGTCTCTGCTCCCCTGGGAATGTCCCAGATATGGCACTCAGCAGGGAGGAAAACACTGCAGCCTTAATCCTTCATTTCCCTAACCTCAAGCCATGGCAATGCAGAGAGGGAGAACCAAACACGGGGGAACCAGTCGGTCACTGCCCAGCCCTGCACATCCCCAGTGCCATCTGCAGCTTTCCCTGTGGAACATCCTCATCCTCACCCCCAGACGCAGCCATCCCATCCTGGCCAACTCTCCTTCAGTCCCCTTATCCTGCTCTAGAGCTGGGTGTTTCTCTCCAACCTGAACACTCCTTGGAAATCACATAAGCCCAGATGTCCTTACAGCCTTTTAGGTCACCCTTCCAGACACATTACTTCCATCCCTTTACTTTGTAGGCTGTTGCCTCTCCTTGAAGGCCCCATAATTTACTGGTATCTGTCCCAAAAGATGCCTTCCAAAGAAGGCCCAAGCAACTGCAAGATCTCTTAGTCCATCATACTGGGATCTCCCTTCTCATGTGCTTGGGACTCACTTTGTTCCTGCCCTCCTCTTTATTTGCTTCATTGCAAACGGAATCCTATTTATGAATTAAAAGGGGTTTGGTTCCCAGCAGAGAAAAGAGAACTCCAACCACACTGCCCAACACAGAGGGGGAAGCATCCCACTCGCAGCACTGCAGAACACGCGGCTGCAACGCGAGCGCTCACCTGCGTGGAAGTACGGGCTCATGGTGTACGGGAATCCGAAGGGCAGCGGCTGAGGCGGTGGGAGGGAGGCTGGCGGCAGGTATTTCACCTCGGTTTTGTTGATGCCTGGCCCCAGCAGATGGCTGGGGGACTCGGCGCTGGAGGAGCTGCAGGGAGCGGTTTGACCGGGAGCCCCTTCACCCAGCTCCTTGGCCCCCTCGCACGCTTTGCCCGTCTCTTTGCACTCCTTAAGCTCCGCGGCCGAGCTGCTGCTCTCGGCCTTCAGGCTCTCGGGCTTCTCATCGCTCACATCCGCATCGCTCTCCGAGTCCTTCATCTCCTCGTCGTTACAGTCCGGAGCGCCATCGCGTGCCCGGGGCTCCGCCAGCTCCTTGGCCTCGCTCAGGCCCTGCGGCTCGGCGCGGTGATGCGCGGCTTTGCGGCTGCCGCGCCGGGGCTGCTCCTTGGGCGGCGTGGCGCTGCTGGGGACGCTGGGGTTGAGGGACAGCAGGGGGGTGTTGTTGTGCCGCAGCACCAGCATGGCGTTCCGCCGGGACAGCTCTTCCCGCAGCGGGTGCCCCTCGGGAATGTCGTGCACGTTGCGCAGGGCCGGGTGGTCGGGGGGCAGGCCGGGGTGCAGGCTCAGAGGGTCTCCAGCCAGTAGCCTTTGCCTGTGGAGGTTCTCCAGCTCCTTCTGGCGGATGATCTCGGCTGACATCTCCAACCTAAATCGGGAGAGGCAGAGGGGGAACGTGATGGAGGGCTCTGGGAATAACCTGCTAACCCACCAGAGCTTGCAGGATCCAAGTGTCACCTCCACATCCACACTTTGCTTCACCTGGACGCTGCTCTGTTGCCTGTGCACAGCCCACCCAACACAACATCCCACATTCCTCTGCCTGATGCCAGGGAAAGGAAGGACAAACCCAGCTCAAGCCCAAGCCCAGGCTGGTCCTACGCAACCCTCACCTTGCCAGGTTTTGCTTCCGTAGCATCTCTTGCTGCCGTGCAAACATCTCTGCTTGTGCTGGCTGCAGGAACCCGTAACCTGGGGACAGGGAGAACGATACCATGGGGTTAATAATGTCAGCACTGACTCTGCCAACTCAGGGCCAGCTCCCCAGAGAGCTAACTGAGAGCTGCCTTTCTGTTCTGGAGCCCATCTATTCCCCCACTCCCAAGGCAGAGCAGCCTGCTGCTGAAACACTGGACAAGAGAGGATGATGGGGATTGAAAGAGAGAGCAGCCAAGGCAACCTGCTCCTATGGCAGCAAAACAAGGGTGAACTCAGCACAACAGCCATAAGGAGACACAGAAATGCGCCTGGGCTGTTTGGCTGAAGGACAGTCCCAGCCTGCACCCTCACTATTCCCTCACCCTAGCCGAGTGTGTTTCTTCTGCACTCACCTGGTGTCTGGCACAGAGCTGAAGGCACCCCGAGGAAAGGAGGTCTCAAGTGGGGCCCCAGGGCAATGTGGGGTGCGTTCTGGGGTGAGAGCAGAGGCGGTGGGTGGGATATCTCCCTGCAGAAGAGATCAGAAGAGAAATGAATGTCAGACACCTGAAGGCTCCATCCACAGCACCCAGAGGGCCCTGGCGCAGGAAGAACACCCCTTCTGCAGACAACCTGCATTTTGTAGGAGAGGCTGTTGTGAGACAGAAAGATTCCTCCTTGCCCATAAGCAACACCTGTATAAAGGAGAAAAGAAAGAAGCAGAACCAGAAGGGGAAGAAAGCAGCCAGGACTCCATAGGTCCTCCATACTTCCCACCTTGACATGTTTGCCTTTGAGCTGCGCTATGCAAGGGGGGTTTGGCTGCCCAGGGCTAGCAAAGGCAAGGCGAGAGAAAAGATGTGAGGCAGAGAAGGACACAGGAGACATGGGGATTGGGATGGGAGCAGGAAGTGCCATGGGGTCAGCAGAAAGGATACTGCTGGAGAAGGGGTGGGTGATGCTGGTCAGAATGGGTAGGTGGAAGAGGTAGGTCTGAAAGGTGGGAAGAGGACAATGCCTGGAAGCAAGGCAGGTAGTGCTTGCCTGTGTGGGCAGGAGCGGGGAAGGCAGGAAGGGAATAAGAGCCAAGGTCTCTTCCATTAGTCAGATCTGCCCTGGGAGCCTGCAAGCAAATCTGCTTTCCGGCTGCACGTCTCTTAATTCCTTTTGATGGCCACTTACAACGTTATTACCTTCAGCAGGGCATCCAGAGGCACAGCCGAGTGCCGTGCCGTTTATTTTCATTTTACAGTATCTCCCTATAAAATCTGCTTCAGGAGAGACCAGAGGGCAAAAAAAGGGAGCAAGAAGGCGCCTGTGGCTGGCACAAACAGACCATACACACAACCACGCTCCCCCTTTCCATGGGGGAACAGCACGCGAGTGTGAGAATCCCAGGCACCCATCCCCACATTACCACCATAGCTCAGGAAAAGCCAATGATTCTTTGGGAATGAGATGGGCAAGGAAAGGATTCCTGTTGTTCCCCCAGCTATTCCCAGCATAGCTTTATCCTCATTCTATGCCACACACTGACCCACCCACCAAACAGCCTGCGATTCCCCTTTGGAATACTCCCGTCTCCCTCCCCACTTCCCGCCTGCCTCTGCTCCCATTCCCCTGCCTGGCTCCATCTCTCCTTGCCTCCTTCCTCCCCTAGCTCTCCTCTAAACTAATTGCAGAGCCTGGCGTGTCTGGAGGAGAGCCACGGATCGATCGCTCGCTGTTGAAATGTTAATGCTAATCGTATCAGGGCTCCGCCAGCCCCTCGCACTTCAGTGGCAGCTCCAATTAATCTCAGGTAACGCAGCGCCTGACCTTCGGCTCCGAGCCGGGGCAGCAGCCAAGCGATGCTCATGTAATTACACCATGAAGTGTGTAATCACCTGCCCTAATCCCCGAGGCCTCACAATTAGCCGAGGCCTCGGTCGCTGGGCTGCCAAGTGCTTTTGCCACCCAGGACAGCCTGCAGATGAATAACGGACAATTAAAGCGGCATGACGGGGGCGAGGAGGTGTCCGTTCGATTGTAATTAGCTGTAATCATGGGCAGACGAGCCTGGCAGACGTGCTGCTCCCTTTATAAGAAGCAATTTAGGAAATCAAGTCGGTTTTAACCATTCCGTGGCCAGGCACGTGGTGCCCGTGCCCTCCCTGCCTGTTGTGTATGCAGGAAAAGGGGATCCTGTGTGAGAGAGCAAGCCCCCAGGCACACAGAGCTCAAGAGGAAATGCTAAACACAAAGAGAGTGGCTTGGTTTTAGCCAGGAAGGGCCAGTCTATGCCCAGGGAGCATAGTGTTTGATGGGGATCTGCAATGGACACTGCAAAATCAAAGGTTCTCTCTTTAGTGGCAGCCCAATGTTAATCAGAGGCTATTCTGATGCTTTAATGTGGCACTACAGGGCTTAACATTGCTCCCTAAGGAATTCACATCTAGTCGAGGCCCTGTAGCTCATTCCCTCTGTTTTTCACGGAGGGGATCAACTCATACTTTGGATTGGGAAGGGGGGTGGCAGGATGAAGCAGTGGCTGTGGGATCTGATTGTGTTGCCATGCTCATGGCTGAGCACTGCAGCTCACCGGGGCAGGGATGGAGGTCGTGGTAAGAGGGGGTTTAAGAAACACATTAGGAGCGACTTGGAACGTGAGAGGTCAGTCACTGCCCGTGTTACACACACAGCACACGCTGGGGATGAGTCCAAAGGTTTAGGGAACTCCGGGAGACACATTTGCATGTGCTGTCATCATTTCTGCCTGACACAGCGCATGGAGACCCTGGAGTCCTCCTCTCAGCGACCAAACACATGCAGAGCACAAAGCTGCTGGGTGAGCAGATAAACAGGACCAGCCAAAGGTCCTGCACCTGTGATATGCATGGAATCTGAAGTGAGGGAACGGAGGCTGCACACAGCCAGACACGAGACACTGCACCTCCCCTGCATCCCCTAATGCTCAGCATCACGTAACTGAGGAAGCAAGCAGGTATGCTCATAAATGGCTGGGGGATAAGAGACTCTTCTCTCTGTTAGACTGACTCTCCCCAGCTCACGTTGCAGACCCAAAGGAGGTGGTCCCCACCAAGGACAGACATCCCACAAACCCAGCCTCCTGCCATCCAGGAGCAGAACCTGTTGGAGCCTTCCACTGCTCCTTCCCAGCCCATCTGCCCCATCCTTGGCATGGAAACCTGGCACAGGAGGGAGGGAATGCGACCAGGCCATGTCCTGGCACAGAGCTGGGAAGCCCTCCCAGGCTGCCTGGTGCAGATACAGCCTATTGATTCCAAGCAAGCTTGGAAATGAACTGGCAACCCTGGAGTAAAAAGCCCCAGAGACCTCAACCAAAGCTACTGTGCTTTTAGGCAGACATGCACCAAAACACAAACCCTGGCATCCTTTCTCAGGCATGGATCAGCCTTGAACTCCCCATTAGTTTACTTCCTCCTCTTCTTCTGCCTTTCAGAGTAAGAGCTGAATTACAGGCCCATACCTGGAGAATGTGAATTTAGCCCTTGGCAATCGCATCTGATAAGCCTTGTCCTTACCTTGCAGAGAGCAATTCTGTGTTCCTGTATATTCCTCCCCACATCTCCCCTTTTCTTTCCCTCCCCCAGTATACCAGCTGGAGGCCTGTGAGCAGGGTATTAGGGGATTTGCACTGCATGCTGCTAAATTTGATATGTCCTTTAACAGGAGACAAATGGTTCACAAGGCTTAAAAAGTATCGACTTTTCTTTAACAATAAGCACTAATGGCCTTCAAATAATCAATATTTAAAGTCATTATGGGGTTACACATTATACTGTTAAAACCAAGCCTTTCACTTTAACCCCCTCATATCCTCCCAAGCAGAGAGCAGTGCTCTCCCCCAACTCCCTCCAAGCTCAAAAGAAAGGCTCGGAGCTGTGACTGGAGATGGGAGAGGGTCAGGAAATGCAGATTGAAACTGGCAAGGCATGGAAATAAATTCAGAACGGATGGAAGAGGGGGGAGAAAGAAAAGAATGCATGAAAGCTCTGCTTGCTTCTGCTTTGCATTTGATAGGAAGAGACACTTCAAACCTGAGGTAATAGGCAAGCAGCACACAGCTCCTTGCTGTCTGCCACCCACAGACGCTGTCTGGGCCAGGAAGGGCTTGCTAAAAATGGTGTTTGGGGTTTCCAGGCAAGAGACACACACTGACACTGCTCTCTAGGGCAGCAACGAGGCCTGGACACAGAGAGGGGTTGGTTTATGCTGCCAGGAGAAATTGCTCCTTCAAGTCCAAACTGGTGCTAAAACCACAGCAGTTAAATCGGGTCAAGCTCTTTGGCCTTGGCTCTGCACAATGGTCAGGCAGCTGGGACCTGGGAGGCATCCTCCCAGTGCAACAAGAGGGATACAGCATTCACAGCAGAGCTGAATGCTGGAGTGAGGAAGAGGAGGCTGGATGTGAGGTTGGGGTGAGGAAGAGGAGGAAAGAGAATGTGTTCAGAGAGGACAGCAGAACATACCCAAGGAGCCTGGGGTGTAAAGGAAAGCATCCGTGATGCAGGGAGGGGAATCAGGCGGTGAAAGAAAAACAGCAGCAACAGCAGATGGGAAGCACACAGTCCAAAAATCCTTTGCTGCCATTCCAGGCACACCCTTGCACAGAGAAAGGCCCCTGGGTGATGCACAGTGTCAGCCTTCTGCAAGGGAAGGGTGATGGGTGCATCTTTGAGGCTCTGTGGCTCCCACAGTGGCCAAAGAGCTCGGCTTCCCAGGACCCAGCAGATCAGGATGCTGATGGCATCTCAGGCAAGGCAGCATTTCTCGCTCCTTGGCATTCCTCCTGCCTTCACCCCATAATCATCTATGGTCATGGAAGATGAATTGTGCTTCTAATGCTTCTTACAGACAGCACCAGAGACTGTGGAATGCTATTGCCAAGGTACCTGCCTCAACACTTGCCCTTTCTCCAACTATAATGTGCCTTCTCCTCAACCTGTGAGAGGGGGGCAGGTTCTCCCACACAGACCCCATGCCATACACACGTGAACGAGCTCCTAGTAACTCATAACTGATCCATCACGTTCAGCCTAAAAGCTTCCCCACACCAACCTCACTGTCAGACAGCTCATCCAGCCTAGTCTGAGCACCCATGCAATAACTTCCATCTGCAGGGTGTAAAAGTTTCTCCTTGAAGGAAGGTGAAGGAAATGTTCCCTGGCCTTCACACACACTAACCTGCACTGTGAGAAGCAGACTGCTCACTTCAAGAGTACTACCAGGAGCTGAGTGCCTTGGGGAAGAACATGCCAGGCTAAACGACCCCAGCAAAACCAAGTACATTGCCAACCAATTCTGAAGACAGGATTCAACAAGTAGGATCCAAGGAGTAGGATCCAAGCAACTCTGCAGGGCACAGCCACCTGCCATTTTTGCAGGAGACACGGCAGCCTGGAGATGGGAAGTACTCCAGGTTGGAGTAGTTACAGTGACACCTTTAAGTCGTACCCTTTCCTCTTCCAAGTCTTTTTATAACACTGAACTCAACAGTCTTTTCAAACCAACCACCGGGTCCTGGCTCTCTATAATCCAGGCCTGGATCAATCTAGAGAAGGCTCTAAGAAAGCAAAGCCATGAAACCAAACGGATTCTCAAGCCTGCAGCTTGGCAAGACTCATCAGTTTTACTCTTTCCAACAGAAGAGGAAGCTGAAGTGAAGAGCTGAAGGGACCACTACTCCACTAAAAGGACCATGGAAGCTAGTCCAAGAAAATCCATATTCAGAGTGTCTGTGCACATATGGGTATCACCCTCTTCAGAGCCAGCACCCTCCTGCCTTGTGTTTAGCATCACTAAACCCACCAGCCTGTTTATGACCAGCAAAGATAGGTATTAACTAGTTGACAAATGTCTGACCATACCCATCTTCCCAAGTATTCCCCGGCTTAGATTCATCACCCACTTCTTTGCACCTGGGAACATGGATATATACAATTCCCACTAACAGGCAAAGGTTTCTGCATTCCTGTCTTTGCAAAACCAGCAGCACTGCCCTGATAAATAGAACTGGATCACCAGGACAGGTTTCCCCCCCTTGCTTTGCCAGACATAAAGGCTGAAGTCTAGAGAGCCTAATTATTCTTGCCCACAAAGCTGCTGCACTGGAGAGCTGACCTGATCCCCACAGATCTCCTGATAGGAAGCTGAAATGGAATTTTAACACCATGCCAAACAGTTCACATCCCCCTGCATCATGTGTTATTGCTTCTGCTCCTGGGAAAGGAGATGCTGTAAATCTACTTACAGTTTGCCTATGTACGTGAGCCAGCCTCCTCCAGCGCCTTCTCCTCTGTCAGTGCCTACCTGAGCCCTTTAAAATTTCTCTACCTTCATAATAAAGGTTTGATTTACCCTCTTGACAAAGACCACAGCAGCCAAGTACAAAACCCAAGGCTAACAGCAACAGTGAGAAAGGAAGGGAGAAGTTAACCCATACAGTGCTTTACTGCAATACATGGCCATGGCTTCTCCTGGCATGACCTAAAAATGCCTGTGGTGCTATGGCAAAACAGCAAGAAGCAGTTTGCGCAGGACAGCTCCAACCTGGCCATGTCTGAGTGGGAGCAGAGTGACCCTTGGTGACACTCAGGTGGCTGCAGACTGGAGAAATAACAATCACGAGTACTAACGTCAAACAGACTGACCAAGTCATGACTATGGGGCACAGCTGTGGCTTCCCATTTCCCAGCAGGACTCCCCAGCTCTGCTAAGTGAGGATTATCACACCTGAGAGCCTGGCCAAGCAGGTTGGCCACCCAGGGCCCTATCAGACCCTCCCTGTGGGAGCAGATGACTGCAGAAAAACAGGCAGTCTGCTCTGCTATGCCTGGGAAAAGAAGGAATCATGGGATGCTCCCAGCCAGGCCCACCATGGTGATGCTTATAAAACCACAGAATGGTTTGGGTTGTAAAGGGACCTTTAAAGACCATGAAAGCAGGGTGTCCAGAGCAGCTGTGGCTGCCCCATCTTTGGCAGTGCTCAAAGCCAAGCTGGACGGGGCTTGGAGCAACCTGCTCTAGTGGAAGGTGCCCCTGCCCATGGCAGGGGTTGGGACTGGATGAGCTTCAAGGTCCCTTCAACAAAAGACACTCTGTGATTCTAAGATGAAAATTAATGTTTTTCCAATCATTAACTCCTCGCCTATGGTCTCTGTCCCCTGACCTAGTGAGCAGCTTCCTTCCCCCTCCCACAACTGAGGAGGAACAGCAGCCCTAACTTCAACTGTCCTTCAAACTGGGGGGTAACACCCTCTTTCCAAACAATTTAACACCCCCTGGCCTAGACCAGCTCCATTACCTGCAGTACCCGTCTGGCTGTAGCAAGTACCTCTGGATTTGATGCACCTAACTCCTTTTCAGCCTGCCCTCCTATACGTGCAGCACCTCCCCATAGCATCCTCCACCCTTCCGGATGCGTGGTGTTAGCCAGGCCTCCGGCTGGCCTGGCGCTGCTCCAGCCCACACAGAGCTGGAGACGCTCTCCCTGATGAGAGCCTGCACTCAGACTCCTCTATCTCTGCATTCCTCACAGCTCTGCCTACAATCCATATGGACTGGGCTGGATTGTATTGGGTGGGTGAGCCAAAGTACACCAGCTAGGAGAAAGCATTCCCAGGTCTGCCCAGCTCCTGACCGCTGGCCAGAAAGAAGGGAAAACAGATTGCATCTCCAAGGCTATAAATGTGGGGGGTGATTTTGAACTCAACATACATATATCCACAGCCTGCTGCCTGCCCCCACCGCAAGATGAAAGCAAAAAGAGTCTGGATACTGAAGCTTTTCATGCTTGTAGTATGATGCCCAAAGCCTTTGCACCCCTGTGGCTGTCAGGCCCTCTCCCACCTCTGTTATCCTGGTCAGAAACACACACAGCTTTAATTTAATTCCCTGCTGAAGTGCTTGATTGAGGAGGGGATGGCTCATGGCACAGAGCAAGATAAATGAGATGTAATTTCAGAGTGGGGATCAGCTTTCCAGTGCTTCCATCAGTGGTAAAGGCAAACTGTGCATCTTTCTTCCTCAAAAGAAAACTTTTTCTACTCCATCCTAAAGCACTGGCACAAGCTGCCCAAGAAAGCTGTGGCTGCCCCATCCCTGGCAGTGCTCAAGAACAGGATGGGTGGGCTTGGAGCAACCTGCTCTAGCGGAAGTTGCCCCTGCCCATGGCAGGGGGCTAGAATCCCACTTTGGCACCTACCTAACCCCTGAGGGAGATAGTAACACCTTACCTGGGCAAATCAAACCCACCCTGCTGGTACCTCCCCATCCATACGCTCCTATAGACCACCCTCTGCGCAACACCACCACGACAGGAGCAAACCCCGCCCCAAGGCGGCGGTGATGGGCGGCCGGCCCTGCCCAGCCCGTTTCCCCCCCCACCTCCCGCGGTACCTCTCGGGGAAGTGTGTGTCCCTGTGCTGGGGCAGGCCCTGCTTCCTCCGCTGGCTGGAAGAGTTGCTGGCCGAGGGGATGTGCGCTTCCATCGCGCCGGGGTTCCGCGCTGCCGCCGCCGCCGCCACTTCTTGCCGCGCACGGAGGAGATCTGGGGAGAAGGAAGGGATTGAGCCGCTGGCCCCCGGACCCCGCACCGAGGCGCGCACACACACACACACACACACACACACACACACACACACCCCGCTCCAGCCGCTACTCCGGGCTCTCCGCGGGCTCCGGGGCTGCTCCCGGCCCGTCCCTCCCCGCAGCCCCTCGGGCGACAGCGGGAGCTCCGGTGCTCCGCCTGTCAAGCGGCGGCCCCGCGGGTCCCTGCCCCGGGCACTCACTGTGCGGAGCGGGATCCACCTCCGAGGGAGTTCGGCAGCGGAGGAAATTGTGCAACTACGAGAGGGGGTGGATTGCTGTTTAATTGCCTTCCTCCTGCTGGAGGGAGGGAGGGAGGGAGGGAAGGAGAGAGGGAGGGAAAGAGGGAGGGAGGGAGGGATGGGGGAAGACAAAACGGAGAGGGAGGCTTCCCGAAGCCTGCCCCCCGCTCCCGGGGCGGCACGTCCCGGTCCCCGAGCCAAGCCGCAGCGTTATCCGCTACCGAGCAGCCCCTATGCGGGTTTAGAGACCGGGTTTGAGCCCGGGACCCCCGGGGAGGGGGAAGCAGCGTCCCGCGTGTCCCCAAACCACATCCCGGCACCTCCTGCTGCCGCCAAACGCCGGGAATGGCGGAGACACCGTTCCTTTGGGCGCCCCACCATGGCCGGGAACATCCAGCTCCATAAGAATCACAACGGTTCAGAGCACATGGGGGCACGGCCGGGCTGCACCTGCCCAGCACAGCTCTGCAGTCAGAAGGGATGCAGAGGATGGGGCACATCTGACCATTGGTGGACAGACCCATGAGAGGTCCAGTGGCACGGGCACACACACCAGCTGCACTGGCTGAGGCTTTCCCTCTCACAATTAAGTATCAGGAACCCCTCAGTTCCTGCACCTACAACCTGTGGGTTCCACCAACCTGTCTCTATCCCACACCAAACCCTCTGCTGCCGTTCACATGGTACACAGGAAGCACACACACAGATGCACACTTAGAGGAAACCTTTTTCATACACTCCCCATGTGCCACAGCAAAAGGAAGCCAAAACACAGCTGAGGAGAGGAGGGTTTATCCTAATGAACACATACTGAGATCTCAGAGCACTCCACATCCAGTGGCATTATTAGTCCTCTCCCCGCAAGCAAGTCATAATGAAGTTTAACGTGAGCGTGACATGGCCCTGGGGAATGCTGCACTTTCTGTCTCCTTGCCCTCCTTTACACCACCATACTGTTTTCCTTTGGTTCTGGAAATCCTAGGCATCCATATTCCCATTAGCTCCAAGCTTAGCTTGACCTTCACCAACCCCCACGTATTTTGGGGCTGGTCAAGGCAGAAACCCCATGATGGGACAGCAAACTGGGGTGGCAATGCTGACACCGCTGCTGGTACCTGAGCGCATCCAGCCACATTCATGCCCACCCAATCCCCATCCCATATCCCCAAACTGAAGAGGACAAGCATCCAAATGATGTGCAGTTCTGAGCAGCATAGCCATGCAGGACGCTGCACAGCAACAAACCCCATCAGCTGGCATGAGAAGCTGGAGAGCTCAGCGAGCGTGCACCTTCATTGCTTATAAATTCCTTATCTGAAACCCCCAGGTCACTCCCGATTGCCACGGTGCCTGTAATTTACAATTCTGGCATGCAGCCACTTCCAGAAGCTTCACTGATCCTGAATGACCGCAACACCCCCCCCCCCCCCGCACCCCCTTCTCCTTGCCCAGACCCCCCCCACCTCCAGGGTCTGTTATTTACAATCCTGCACTCTGACAGTTGGGAAATCAGATTGATTGACAGTGGGACGCTGGCGGATGGAGGTTCCAGGCACGGAGACAGCCTGAATGCAGAATGTGGGATGAATGCCACTGGGAGAATGGGGGCGGAGGAAAGGGGGGAAAGGGGGGGGGGAGGGTTGAAAAGCAATTAAAAAAAGAAGATTTCTAAATTATTAAGAGTTGTTCAATTATTAATGTTATTGGTGCCTCCATGTGAGCCCGCAGATAAACTGCGCTTTGTACCGCCACTAATAATTTATAGCCCGATCAGAGCCCTTTGGTGCGGAGACAACCCAAAAACACACCAGGTTTTGTGTTGTCCAATGTTTCACACCAGGCTCTGTCCATGCAGGCTCCTCTTCAACCCCCTGCCCACCCCAAAACCTCTGTGTGACCCTTCATTGATGAGACAGTTTAATCATAAGAATACCTCAGGCTTTTAATGCAATGAGCTACTCTGCTCATTCCATGGGGAGAGAAGGGGGTGACAGCAGCTCTTCTGCTGCCTGAATATGCATGTTCCCTGTGTCCAGCAGCCAGCCAGAGCTCAGGTTAAGTGCTCTGTCACAATACCAGTACGCACAAGGTGTTCTGTGCTGAGCACATGCCCTGTTGTATTCAATACGGTCTACAAGGACCTGTGTGTCGTGGTTGAACACTCAGCATTTGCCTGTCTGCATGTGTCACTCTGTTGTGCATGATGCATGTTATACACTGTCCTCTCATACTCTGCTTGTGTTCTTTGCATGGATGTATGGAAACTCACGTGGCTTTTCCCTGTACATACCTATGTATCATGCTTGCAGCTCTGCGAATGCCTGGGACAGCTGAACAGCACACAAATAAGCATGTGCCACGTTCACGACAGTGTTCCTCAGCACAGGTTTATGCCATGCCCTTGCTGATAAGCAAATCCTTACTCCTCAGTGAAAGGAATCGCCTTCTTGCCCCCAGAGAAGCCAATCAAATCAAACAGAGTGGAAAAGAAGACAGCCTCTTCATTAACCTAACAAGGAGCCCTGGGGATTTACACTCTAGAGCAGAGATTCTCCTCCAGCTCTCACTGGATGCTTCACCGATGTTGCCTGTGCTCCTTCCCTGGATCACGCAGGCAGGCACCTGCCATTACTGCAGACCAAGCCGAGCCAGCTTTGCTCACCTCAGGGAAGGAGACGGGGGCTGAGGAGCCTTTGGCCTGCGGAGGGAGACGCTGGTGGCTCCCGTGCTCTGCCAGGCGGCTCCTGCAGATGTGACTGCCTGGTGCCCCCTTTAGGCACAGCGCAGGAGGCTGCAGCCGGCCTGGATTTATCCAGCTTCCCCCGCAGCAGAGGCAAAACCTACCAGCATCCCCGCAATCCACGTGGGGATCCATCAGATCCTGGTACTGCGGGGGCCTTACTCCCCAAAGACGCCACTCCAGCCCCAGAACACGGCAGCAGCATTGGGTAACAGTTATCTATTAATGAGGAGGCTGCTTCAGGGCCAGGGTTTTGATATTCCCCTACGTAACTGCACAAGCATCAGCCTTTTAAAGAGCTCCTTTTAAAGAGCTCCTTTTAAAGAGCAGATTGGCAGCATCTTCCCTTGAACACAGACACCAGTGCAGAAATACTCCCGAGCTGCCACAGCCTAGGAACAGCAGACAGGCACATACAGAGGCACAATCTGCAATGCATGCAACAGCCCTTAAATAAATAAGGCCTAGGGGGTCTCTCAGCTACCCTCATGTCCAGCTCCTCCTCAGAGAACCAAATCATCCTGGGAAGGTCTGAGTGCTGGAAGCTGCAACATACAGGGTCGTCATAGCAATGCTCTGATGGAGCCCTCCCAGAGTAAGCATCCACTGGGTATGGAAGAAGTTCTCTCCCTTTCAGCAACCTTCCCCTCACTTTTCCACAGCAGATCTGGTTCTAGCTAGTGAAGAACCTGCTCAGTCCTTAGCGATGCAAATGTAATTGCTTTCAATGGATGATACTGTGGATGAACCTGGCCCATGGATTTCATTTGCCTGCTCAGCTGTCCTCCCTGCAACTTAGCTTCATCTACATATTTTAATTGTCTGTAACATCATAGACATCTAATTCTCACTAAGGTGATAGGTCTTTAACACCAATTTATGTGATGTCTGTGCGTAGCAACTACTGCAGAAACCTTCTAAGCCTATCACTATCAAGGTTTAACCAAACCCTGCAACATCACCTTGCTGTTTCAGATCCCAAACAGCAGGAATATCTGGCATTACCTGCATCTCACACCCTCCCCCAGCATTATGCCGACACTCATTCCCCTTGTTCCACAGTATGACCTAAATAAGACACCACAGGAATCTGAATATTCAGATTGACATGAACTCTTGAAACAGAGGAAGACAAGGACTCCCCTCTCTGCCACTGCAAAATACACAGTAGTGATGCTGCAGTTCATCGATTCAAGCAAACAAACATGTAGCCACCCCCAGATGGCTACATAAAGTATTAGTATTCAGGGATGGTGGAGGGCAGATGCCCCACAAAGATGATGAGAGAAAGGGTCTGTAGCATTCTCTTTCACACCACCTACATTCATTGCATGGCACACACACACACCACCTCATCCCATAAACCCTCCTTACATGCACACAGGGGTTAGAGACATCTTAAAAGGCAAAAAGCAAAGCGAGCCCCTTCTTCTCCCATCTCGGAGAGCCTGTACCTCCATGGCTGGGCACTGCCATGCTGTTGGCCAGCTGGTAGAGACGCTGCTGCTGCTGCTCCTCAAAGGTGCTGTGCTCATTCAGCGCCGACATCATGCGCCTGTAGTGCTCCTCCGGGGTCATCTGAGTCACCGAGTCCTCAAGCAGAGGCGTGTGGGAGTTTTCTGAAGAGCAGAAAGATTTGGTCTTTTTTCCCCCCCCATAGAGAAATAGAGTGGAACATCACGTAAATACAGGGGCAGTGCAAAGACAGAGCACGATTTCTCACAACTCTATTGTACCCACTGAACTTGAGGTACCACGCTGCCAAAAGCTGCACTCGTGTTCCAAGAGGTACTATTACATGGGGTCCAGACACACCTACAAGCTGCTAAACCTCCAAATGGGCAAGGAAAAACCCACAAAACACCTATGTACAACTTCTTTTTCTCCCTTTCCCTAAAGCAACAAGCACTGCATTATGACAACAAGAAATTCCCAGCCCGCTCCTTACCCCCAAGGTGGCAGAGGACAGGCAGGATGAAAGAGTTCAGAGTTCTCACCCTTTCATCTCGTGGGATGAGAGCTCTTCCTTTCAGTTAATTCCTGATCAGACACACACCCCTTTCCCCCACCTCTCTGAACACCTGCAGGGACACACTATGTGAGAGGTGCTCAAGCACCCAGTGCAGGTGATGCTGACAGCATCACCCAACAGTGATGACAGTCCAGCTGCCTGGACTGTCTTGGAGTGAAGTCACAGGAACACTTTGGCTTATGGCTAAGCACCCTGAGGCCATTAAAATCACACCCAACACGAATACCTCTCCATCTGCCTGGAATGACTGCACAGGGAGAGGCTTTGAGGAAGGCCCTGCCTGCTGCCTGGGCAGCAGGGATCCCACTCTAACAATCAGGGAGATAAAACCACAGAAGGCTTTCTGTTTACTGTAAGCAGAACTCAGAGTAATTACCCTTCTCTGCCTTGGCGGTGGCTGCTCTAACACTGTTTTATCTTGCATCTTCCCCACAGGCAAAGCCTTTTCATTACTGAGAGAGGAACTCCCAGGAACAATCTCCACAGGCAGAAGGGGAGGGAAGGGCTCCCCCCATGCTGCAGTCACCAGACCACCACCGTGTTCAGTGAATGACAAGACCACCCTACCGTGTGCCCCAGATTTGTGCTCCTTCATCCACCTCATTTCACATTGTCCCTCGGGGATCCTGGCAGGTGACTCTGCTGCTACATTGCCTCCGAAGTCAAGGTGGTGGCTCTGAGCACGAGCCATTTGCTTTATGCTGGGGCCAAAGTGCATCTTGCTGGGAAGAGAGCTGTGGAGCTCTACCAGGTGACAGGAAGGCCCCTAAGCTAGAAAAGATAGCCTGTGGCCATCAAATACAGCCCAAGAGACAGAGTAGAACGTGCCCTGCCATGGCTGCTCAGGAACTGGTTCATTTCTGCCTTGGAAGGGATAGCATTATTGTAACTACCCATATTGATAATATATATACCTAGATATGAAGGGATAGTATCAATAATAATAGTTGTTATAAAAATAACAATGAAGTTGCAGTCAAAAGGATTGCACCACCTGTTCCCAGGGCACCAACTTCAGTCCCCTCCCCTCCACTGCAGTCCAGCCATCCAGCCCAGCACAGATCCTCACAGCAATTTGTGGCTGTATCTGCAACCACTGATCTCTACCCGTGTCACAGAGCTGTATCTCAGGGACCATGGGCTTCCTGTGTGAATCACAGGTTCATGGGCTTGCTTCAAGCCAGGAGCCAGGTCCCACCCTGCACATCACACCTAGGAACCAGACCTGAAGGATGGAGCTGCATGAAGCAATGTGCCTGCTTCCTTCTTCTCCCCAGCTCTGGTACCCAAACCTGCAAGCCACCAGTGGAAGGAGCAGGGGCAGAATTCCCTTCCAGGTCCATTTCCCACCAAATCAGACTCCCACATCATCCTCCTCTGCTCTCTTGCTCCCTCCCCCAGGAATACCGAAGCGCACCAAGCATCAGTCCCCTCGTGATGCTCTTACCGAAGGCCTAAGGAGCAGAGCCACAGGCCACAGACCTGATTTAGAAAAACACTGATTTCCACACACCACCCTCCCAGCTGTGTCATTAGAGAAAAAGGGAGGAGGGAGGGGATTTAATAACACTTAATTACCATCAACTCTATCCGATCAGCCGCAGAGCAGATTTCAGGTGCAAGGAGGGGAGGGGGAATGAGGGTGGCAAGGGGAGGCTAAGAGGAGGGAGTCCAGGGAAAGGCTGGATTTGCACCACTTAAAACTTGGAAGATTTCACATGCCTCAGCCAGGGGTAATTCCAGCTTTGCTGCAGCTTTGCTGTCTGCTTTTGTCATTACCAGGGGTAATGCGGGAGACTGATCCCGACAAATCTCTTCCAGCCGCCAGGTGTGAAATGGACCCTAGAGCAGGCATTGGAAAGGCAGGGCAGGGGCAGGCATCTGCTGGGGCTCTCAGTGCTCCGTGTCCATTCAAACCAAGGAGAGCTCACTTCTCCCTCCACCAGCACCACCAGAGTCCCAATGGGAGCAGCCAAAGGGAATTCAGGCTCTCAGAGGTTTTTTGCTCTGCTTGAAGGACCTGTCATTGCTGCACAACCTTTTCATCAAGCTTTTGTAAGGCTCATCCTCCCCATTAGATAAGATTTAGATGAGACACTAGGAAAAGAAGCTCTTCCCTGTGAGGGTGCCCAGAGAAGCCATGGCTGCCCCATCCCTGGCAGTGTTCAAGGCCAGGTTGGATACAGGGGCTTGGAGCAAGCTGCTCAAGTGGAAGGGGTCCGGGCCCATGGCAGGGGTTGGAACTGGATGAGCTTTAAGCTCCCTCCAACCCAAACCAGTCTATGGCTCTATAAATCCCAGACAAGATGGGAACACCCAGCCTGTCCATCTCCTCCTCTCCTACAACAAGCTCATGACAGGCCAAGGCTGTCTTTACTAAACCACAGTAAAAGCTTAAGGAGCCTCCTGCAAAAGCATCTCACTCTGTGTTCAAAGCCAGGTCTTAGTCAGTAAGATCCTCACTGTTACTTGCCAGGGCAGAGAAGGCCGATGCCCACTCCCACCACATCCAGCAGTAGAGATGCTGGTAGCAAGAATGGGCCCAAACATGACTTCTTCATCTGGCCTAAACTGACAGCTGCCAAACCCATCAACATATGGATCTCCCCATCTCCAAAGGGGAGGAATACACTGGCAGAGGCTGGATCTAGACTGTCATTCAGCTCCAGTTCTGGTCTACTCCATTAACCAGACACGCACTGAGATTTTGTTTTGTTTCAAACGATCTACAATGGCAAAGAAAGGAGAATGGCAGAAGGAGCAGCATATGAGTTCATCAGCCCACCCCAGGGGGTGAGCACAATATTGTTCCCTACATGTGTTTTCCAGCACTTAGTCCAGTTTGTTTTCCAATCTCCCAAACCAGGAGCCTTCTACCCCATTTATTTGCCAGCAGTTCAAAGAGGATCCAAACCCCTCTTCCTGGGTTTTCCCTTTCTGCCATCGTTCAGTTCTATTTCATGTCTCCAGGTATCAGAGATGTGCATCTTCAGACACGCTGCTGCTGCAGGAGCGAGGGTTCTACTTGGGGGATTGTCTCCCAGGGAGAGAGCTTCCTCTGTGACCTGCCAGCCCAGCCCTCAGCCGAGCCTCTGATATGCTCACATTTCCATATTAGACACGAGAACGTTCTGCTCTGTTTGACAGCAGCGCTGGCGCAGCCCTGTTTCCACTGAGATAGGGCTCTCTTTTGATCTCTGGTGTGCACACTGCGAGCTTTGGGGAGGGGGAAGGGAAGGTTACTGCTTCCCTGCTGGAAGGGTTTCCAGCCCTACAGGTGTTTTTGCACTCAGTCGGAGAGGAGGAGTGATTTACTTGGCTGCCTCCCTTCTCCCTGCCTGCCCAGGCGCAGCCACAGCAGCACGAGATGCGGGGTCACTTCTCCTCTTCAAAGGGCTGGTTTGGAGACAATGTAGCTGCAATGGGGAGAGGGCAGTCCCCACCTCGAGATGTGCATCACCCCAAGAGAGTGATGGTGGAGGAGCAGCACCCACACCAGGCACAGCACCAGGCTGGGTGCATCCCAGGGAGCTGCTGCAGACCTGGCTCGGACCAGAGGAGCCTAGTCCTCGTTTCCCTTCCCATTCCTGTATGACAAACTGCACTCACAGCATCTGGGTCTCAGCCAAGCCTGGGGCTCGAGCACAATCTCACACTTTACAGCACTGCTCCAGAGCAGCAGCTCCCAAATTCCAGATAATTAGCCACTAGGGTCCATCCTGTTTGAAAACAGGTTGTCACAAACCCTGATCCTTCCATTTCCAGCCAGCTCCTTACTGCAGAGCTGGGAAAAGAGGGACTGTTTCCTCCCAGTCCTCCATGGTACCCATGCCAAGGAACACTGCCTGCCTGCTGGTGGGATAGGAAGTCTGGGAGTTCTCAGCTGCAAGGTGCTCTCACAGTTTGGGGCTTAAGACACAGAATCAGTGGCTATAGCCCTCTCTTTGAGCCCATTTTCACAGCAGGGACTGGGTAGGTAAAGGCCCCCAAAGCATGAAAGTCTCTCTCTCTATTCTGATGCTATTCCAGCATCAGAACAGCCTAGGCTTCAAATGCCTGCCACAGTGGAGAGAACAGGGGTTCCCCAATGACCTGATACAATAAACAGGTAACATGGGGGAGCAGAGAAAGGCCCCAGCTCACAATTTCCACTGTCTCAAACCCTTTCAAAGGGCAGGGAAGGCTTTCAGAGAAACAAGTGGGTGTAGAAAAGAGAAGTTTCTTTATGCAGGGCTTCCAAGGAACCCCTCTGTTAATGAGTTGGGGGAATCCCTGAGTCATTCAGAGCTAAAGGAGGAGTGCACAGTGCAAAGCCAAGGGCTGCTCAACCCACTCAAGTGAGCAAAAATGGTGGGAAGGCCAGAGGAGAAATGGAATGAGATCCTCTGACCCTGCTGCTCCCATGGCAAACCCGTCAATTCGTGCAAGTTCAGCCACTTTATGAGGGGGAATCCAAATGCAATAGTTTGGTTCCAGATGGCTTGACTCCAGTTTAGCCCATTCTCAGCCAGACCACACAGGTTGCTGTTCCCTGGATTCCCTTCCTAAGGTGCATGTCTTGGGATTACCAAGGATACAGACTCAGCAAAAACAGCAAAGATGACAGCAGGTGTTTCAAGTGGGTTACAGGAGCCTCATGCCCCTGTAGAACAAAAGCATTTCAGGATCTATAGAAGCATCCTGCTGGAAAGTTACCTGCACATCTACTAGAAACAGGGATAACAAGAATAGAGCAGATAAAGAAATCAAGGAAAACGGGTACAGAGTAGCAGTCTATAGGAATCCTCTTTGCACCTTTCAGAAAAGCCCAGTAAAAAGCTAAGATTTCTACTTGCATTACAGAGTTACCAGGCAGGAGGGGGTTACATGAAAGAAGAGATTTAGTACGTTCTTAGGCAGTATTAGCAATGTTATACTAAGTGACACTAGAATTCAACATCCTTCCAGAGATGCTGCCTTTCGGATCACAATCTGGGGACACAGAGTCAAGAAGAAACAATATACATTATGCAACACTTATATATACAATACTTCCATATACAATATGCAACACATATATTGCATAACGTAAGTAGCTTAAGAAGGCTTCAGGACAAACTGATTCCCTGGATTTGGGAATATCCACCTTGAAGAGCCTCAGCTGCTGCACTCCAAACCCATCAAACCCAGGATTTAGCTTCTACTCTGCTTTGTTTTTTAGGGGATTTTAGCAGCCTAAGAGCACAGGACAGGCAGAGTGACGGAGCTGGGTATTCCTGACAGCTAATTAGGTTGAACTTAACAACAAAGCCTTGAAGTGAAGGGCCTGCAAAACCTCATTTACACAACCTTGAGCCAAACTCATTAGCTGCAGGCTCCATTACCCACCGCACTTTGCCAGGCGTAAAGAAAGTTTAAACCCCCGTGTTTCTAGCAAAGAACCTTCAGACAAATCAAGAGATTCCATAATAATAATAATAAAAGAAGCTGTAAAAAAGAGAAACCTTCTGCAGATTCCATCTCTATAGGAACAGTGCCATAAATGCATACAAAAGGCAGCCCTATTCTCCCTGCTAGGCTTCTTTTTTCCCCCTTTAAAGGAACAGATGCCAGCACGATAAGCCTGTGTGTCTCTTTTTCTATTACACATGTAACCAAGCTACTCTGCCTGAAAAGTAGAAATACCCCGAAAAATCCACCTCAAAGGCTGCAACGTGCTTGTTTTTAATCATAAAGCAATTATTCTAATGAAGAGGCAATCCCTTTCTCGCACTGCAAGCCTCCCTCCGATGAGATAAAGAAAGCACAGAGCACTGGTAGCCTCCTTCATGCACCCTCGGTGCCAGACACTCGCAGCTCCCACCCCACAGCCTCTTTGCAAGCCTCCCTCCCCTCCCTCCTTAATTTCAATTAAGTTCCACTCTTAGGAAAGGAGAAGAAAGGGGAAGGGGATGGGGGGATGGAAAAGCAGCACTTACCCTTTGGGGACTCACTTCTGGCTTTCTTGCTTTCTAAAGGACACTCACTGCTGCTGTTGGGAGAACATACTCTTCTCTTGCCTAAAATCTCATCTAGAAGAGAGATGAGAAACCTGAGCATCAGATAAGGTTGTACTTTGCAGAAGCAAGCAGAGAGACTTTGGTATTTTGCTTTTCTCTCTCTCTCACACACACACACACACACAGACACACACACAGATATTATAAGCAAGGGGGGGGAATAGAAAGTAAGAAAAATCATCATCCTGAGAGCCTTGATCTGCTTTCCTAATCACGCAGCCCAAAAGCACATAATGACTATTCACACCCTGATCAATGCAACGCTCAAAAGCTATAAATTCCGAATCCAGTTGATTTCCTTACTGAGTTTCATCATTTGCTCTGGTGCCTTTTGTCCCCCTGGTGCTTCCACTCCTTTCATGCCCTGATGCAAAGCAACTGGGGGAGAGGAAGGGGAGGAAAAAAACAACACAGGGAAAAAAGCACAACAGATCTCTGAATCTTCCTACCACAGTATGTATCTGTCTCTCTCTCGCTTGCTCTCTCTCAATCTCTCTCTCCCCCCCCCCCCCCCCTTTCCTCCTCCTCCTCCTTCAAAACCTCAAGGTCCTTAGCAATCTTCCCCCTCTAGATTGTACGGAAACACTCAAGCCTTTTGCATTACTGCAGCCTCACAAACCCAACACAAAATATCTAATATACAATTACAGCGTCCCCGAACAGATTTAAAATCAATATCCTCCCATAAGGCTGGGGAAACTGAAAGCATGATGTTGCATATGGGCAGGAAGGAAGAGCCTGTTTGTCACTGCAAGCATCAAATTCTCATCTATCAAGGGCTCGTTAAAGATGCAGCATCTTAAGAAGGGGGGGGGGGGGGGAAACCCATCTCACAAACAAGCACCATGAGCTTTGAGGGAGCACACGTTGATGTGCCTGCGAGCCAACACGCAGGCAAAGCTCCTGCCGCTCGCCCCAAGTGTGGTGGGTAAGGAAGGTTACAAACCCCCTCGGTCCCATTTGCAACAACGGGATTACTGCTGTGCCAGGGGACGTTTGAAGCCAAGCAGCTGTCCCTCATCCTCAGAATCACTCCAGTTACTCTGGATTGAGCCAAGCAAGCCCAGGTTGCTGCCTTGGCATTGGATTGCGCAAGGAGCTCCAGAGCACAGCTCTGTGGCTGCCACAGTGCCGAGGGCAGAGCTTGCCAGGCACTGCCTCCATCCAAAGAGCAATCCTGGAAGCCTGCAAAGTTCCAAGTGGCATTTCGAGGCTCTAAAGAGCACAAGATGCCTCCGACTGCATCTTGCCATGACCCTGTTAACAGAACTGATGCTCAGAGGCAACCACGGAAGCTTGAAACTGCCCATAACCAAATACAACAGAACAGTGGCAATAGGAAGAAGACGGGAAAGGAAGGAGCCAGGCAGTGACAGCACTTCAGTTTTCTCAGCACTTCATATCCCAGGTATTGAGTCAGCTCCTGCCTCAGTTTACCCTGTAAATACCCTCTCCAAAGCCACAGTCCCTATGAGCTTGCCAAGCCAGCATCAAAGCTAGGAAGTACCTGGCCACACAGCACAGACAGAGTCACAAGCTCCCTCCCCTTGGAACGCTTCATTCTTCATGCTGATTTTCCTGGAAATGCCAGGCTGGTGCTGCAAACCCTCAGTGCTGGAGGCCAGGATCACACACATCCTCCTCGGGAGGGTTCTCATCCGGGATTTGTGGCTTTGAAACAACACAAGTCCCATTGCTCTGCTCGCCCCTCCCAGCCTGGCCAGGAGGCAGCAAAACCCAACAGGGCTTGTTTTGATATCCTTCAGGCAGGAGAGGCTCCATGGAGGAGCTGTGACAGCAGCACCAGCTCCATGTGACAGCAGTCAGAATACGAGCAGTGCAGATTCCTTGGTTTCACAACTCTGCCAAGGCACCTCATTACCCTCCTATCACTCCTTCTCTCTCGCTATTCCACTCCCACCCCCGTGTGCCCATCTGCCAGCAGACTCGCTCCGACTAGCACCATGCCCTGCTATTCCCAGGCACGTCAGCAGGACAGGCTGCAAGTCCCACCTCGCTCCCAACCAGCTGCACTTGGGCAGGGGAAGACTGAGATCACACAGTAGCTCTGAAGCAGCACCGTCTCCATCAGAGCTGTGCCCACCCATCTCCAGAACAGCCACTTGCAGCCCCGCGAACAGCCTGCATCCACACTGTGCCTTGGGGAGAGCTCTTGGATGTCTTGCAGTTGAGAGCTGAACTTTGGAGAGATCCCATGTTAGTGCATTCATCTCCAGGATGACCTGCAGTGTTTTCCTTCCAGCATCTCAGGCCCACACTGCACCAAAGCACCAGATCCCACACACCGAGTCTGTATGTGGGTTCCCCCCCCCCCCCAAGCTGTTTTCATGGCAGTCATCACAGAATGAGCATTTTCCTCTTTTTAATTCCCTTTATTTAAGGCAAAGCCCTGGGACGTGTCAGAGGCTGCCTCTGTCCCCAGCAGTGTGGGTACTAAATCACCGAGATACAGAGTAAGCAAGAAAAAGGGAGTAATTATCACCAGTAGCCGGGATGGAGGCACAAAGATCTAACAATGCACCCCAAATTTACTGCAGCAGCAGACAGCACGAGACTGAATAACAACCTTGTGAATGCCAGTGCGAGGAGTCAGACCCCCCTTAGCTGCAAAGCAGAGAAAAGGCAGGTTGTATTTTCATTAGTTACTTACTAAACTCACAGATCACAACCTAAATGACAATGTATTCATATTACAGCACCAATCCTTTCCTCTTTACAACATAAACCATATGCACAGCTTTGGCACATCACACAGTAAACAGATGCCCTTTACAGGACCCTGTGTTCTAAATTCATCCCCTTACACCCACGTGCAGTTCATCTAACCGTTCTTTGCCCTCACACAAAGAACCAGGATGGTGGTTGAAGGCATTGGGTTGGAAGCATCCACAGTCCATCTCCCCCTGACTTTGCAGCAGCAGCAGCAAAACCAAATATGTTTTGCAAATGAGCTGGCAGCAGAGCTCCTGGATGCCTTACCACCCTCACAGAGACAGGTTGTGCATTTAGAGTACACTGCCACTCATCGACCACAGAGCCAGCAGATAGCTGTTTGCTCAGCCCATGCACCACCAAAAGGCAACACTCCACCTCAGAGAATGGGAGGGATGGCTGGGGGGGTTGGCTTGGTTCTTCCTCCTGTTTTGTTCCCCAAATCCCTGCTTTTGCCTCTTTCCTCCTGCCTTCCACAAAGCATTTCAGTTGAAAGGAAGCCAAATAAAGCTGAAAATGAAACACATTATCAGTAGAACTGTAACATTATGAAGCTAAGCCAGGCAATAATGCAAGTAAGAAGTGCTAGAGGAAGCCCCAAGCATACTGATCACTGCCACCAGTGCCACACAACCATCCCTTCCTTGTCTCCTATGCAGGTCCCTAGATCCTGCATTACATCAAGGCTCCTGCCAGCCCAGTCTAGTACAGGAAGTGATCCAAAGAGCTTTTTGGAAATAAAGTCCATTATTTTCCCTAAAGATTGAGAAATCCAAGTGGATTTTTTCCCCCTTTTTCATAGGAGGAGAAGTCCAGCACTCACCTGCTGCACTTCTAATGGGAAACATGAATAGAGACAGTCCAGGAAAGGTCAGCTGGAGGAGGACAGCATTTCTGGCCCCATATACAAGCATAATCCAATGGCTTTGCAACCATAAAGAGAAAGGATGCAGGTATGGGACCATAACATGAGCTTCTGCAGAAGCCAGGGAAATGTGGGGTGATCTGATCACAGCCCTCCTTGGGCCTGAGACACACTGATCAGAGGCCATGGGCAGACACATCACCTGGAGGTAACAGCGCTTTGTACTCCTGCACTGCTGCTAATGCTCAGCCTCCCATCTTCATTAGCAGCTTGGAAGAGAGCACTTGGAAGCCTAAATCAGCTGGGAAGATTAGAAAAGTTATCCTTAGGTTCCCCCAAAGGGACTTGATCTCCACTCTTCACAAGGGAATGTGCAGCAGAGATGCACCAAGGACACACACTGCATCGATGGCAGGGTGAGAACTGAGCCCATGCCCTCCCGAGTTTCTCCTGGAGAAGGGAGATGAACAAACATGAGGTGGACACAGAATGTTGTTAAATGGGTGGACGATAGAAGAGGATCCCAGTTACAGATGAGGGACTGCGCCAAGACTTTCTGCACTGTGTTATGCTACAGCACAACAGGAGGAGATCAAGACCTATCTCACGCTCCTTATCCATATCACTGGCTTTGCTATGAAAGCTTCTTGGACCCAGAAGTCTCCGAGTAAACAGAGAACTGAGCCAACTTACACGGGAGATCACCCAGGCTCTGACAGCCAACATCTCATGAGAAGAAAGTCCTTTTTCCACCTTCTTTCACATTATTTTAACAGGAGAAAAACATCCTCCCTTGCTCTCAACTCCCCCCATCAGACTTGAAACCCTGGAGATGACAATTCCCACCGACCACTCCGAAATGTCTTGGCAGCATCCCCATTTATTCATCTCTTCCCTTTCCCTTGGCACACACAGGCCACCACCAGAGGAGCTGCTCTGCTCAGACAAGCCTGGTGCTCCAGCCCTGCTGCTCCGTCTGCTCCTGTGCCGAGTGTGACAGGTTTGTGGGGACCCTGGAGGCTTCCATCCCCACGATGGGCTTGTGTCTTTGTGAGAGGCTGCACCAGCTTGCTGAGTCTCAGCAGGCCCAGAGCTGCTCTGACAAAGGGGCCACGCAGGAGGCAGCGTGGAATCTGGCTGCACATCGGCCTCATCCCTTGCCAGCAGGGATCAATGGAACAAAGGGAGAGTGAAACACAAGGTCATGGGAATAACAGGCCATAATTTAACTGAGGGCAACGGGAATGGGAAACAAAAATAATCATTGGGGAAGCTGGGGGAAGGGAAGCGATGGGCTTGGGGGACTTGGGATGCTAGAACAATACAAAGGCATGGCAGCTCATGGGGCAGGGTTAGTTCTAGCAAGGAAGGGGGAAAACACGGCTGGATCACTGCAAAGGAGATGTTGAACGAG